ATTGATATTTATCTCTTATAACTTGGAAGAGAAGAAACAATCCTATTGGCCAATAATTAATTGATAATTATCTCCATGACTTATTTTGCAAGATAAATTATAATTTAATTTAGACACAATTTAATTGGCTAATTTAATTAACCAATTAATTAATTTTATGCGTCTACACCAGCTTTGTTAAAACAACATAATAATATTATTGTATTATACAATAATTTATTATGTAAAATAGTAATTTTATAGTGTTACTATTAATGGCACATTACAAATAAGTCGATAATTGGAAACTTATTCATAAAGGGGTCCAGACAAAAAACTATTTTACAAAAAAATCCAGACATTATCCAGAGGTGTGTAAAAGACTTAAATACTCCATCACATTTTAATATGCTTCAATTTCGTCATTTAGTTCAATTTAACCTCAATTTGACCCCAAATTTTACAAACTATTCAATTTTAACCCAAAACTCAATTTTTAGTATAATTTAGTCCGTCACCGCCGAAGACCACCGGTCTCAGTTGACTTTTTTTTCTTCAACATATTTTTGCCTGTTTAAACAGTAAATGTTGTGGTTGACCGTCATATTAACTATATTACTGTCTAACATAGTAATATTAACTATACTGCAGTTTAACACAGTGTCATTATATATTACTCTCTAACACCGTAATATTAATACAACAAAAATCACTATTATTGTGTAGAAGAGTAATATTAATATGTTAACCGTTCAACAAAGACAAACATAATAAAAAGCCAAAAGAATTAATATTGATCGATGTGGTTGATGGTAATAGTACTGTCATCCACATTAATATTATTGTGTTTATTTTAATATTACAATAGTAGACAGTAATATTATTACGTTAATCGGTCAACAAATCAAACAAAACAAAAGGGCTTAAAAAGATAATATTGATATGGTTGACAGTAATGTTATTATGTTTACAGTAATTTCACCGTTAACGACAGAAATATAATTACGTTGACTTGTCAACAAATCAAACAAAACCAAAAAAAATCCGAAAAAATAATAATATTGTTGGGGTTGACAGTAATTGTACTTTCAACGACAATACAATTATTGTCATCGACTGTATAATTACTGTTAATGACAGTATAATACGGTCAACGTTCAACGGCGGTCCTAATAAAAGAAGGATATATTTTTTAGGGAATAAATAAATAAGTCAATGCCAGAGACCGGCGGAAAAAGCGGACAGGAAAAAAAGAGTCATCGTCGGAGACCGGCATTCACCGCCGAAAACCGGTAGAAAAAAAAAGTTCAGAAAAAAAAAGTTTAAAAAAGAAAAGGTCAAAATTTTATTTTTGTGGTCAAAATTGATTATATTCAAGTGAAATTGGTGTTACAATTAGTAATTGGGTTTAAAGGGTTGGGGTAATTTTGTCATATGCATTTATTATGCGTTTATTTATAATGCATATTAAAGAGATTGGCTTATTGGCGAAAGAGATATATTAACCCTTGAACCCAGAATAATAAAGATGGTTGGTCAGCGACTTATTCATAAAAACTCTAATATTAATGTGTTAGATAGTGTTACCCTCTTAGTCGGTGACATCGGCTATGACTCGAGTGTGGCCGAGTCATGGCCGAGAAAGAGTGCCAAACAAGGGTTGGCACAAGACACCACACAAACGACCAAGCATTTGGGGCGTTTGTCCGAGAAAGCAAGGAACGGCTTGATTCAAGTGAGAACGGTGATCGAAAGTACTTAAGGTTGGCACGGGCGTTGCTCGGCAGCGAATGCGGACAAGCGTGGACAGTAATCGGCATGTGGCCGAGAACTTGGGCAAACGAACGTTCGAAGGAAATCGACCACGACTTGACAAGTGTGGGCAAGTTGGCACGACCGGTTGGTGAGTCAAGGAAGGCAGCCTGATGTGCGGGTGTGCCAATGACCGTGTGAGAAAAGAACTAGCAAATGATTGGCAAGGCAAACAAAATGTGCGGAAAAGGCAAGGCATGTGGGCTGCCTAGCACCGGCCGGGCTGTTTGGGCCGTTTGGTGCGCACGCACGCGCCCGATCAAGATGGGCCTCGAAAACCAGCCATGTGGGCAGTTTTGAGGGAAGTTGCGGAGTGTTTGAGGCCTGGAAAGCACGAAAAAATGCCCCTTATTACTTGTAGTAGTTGGCCAAGTGTTAGACTAGTTTGCTGCCAAGTGTCCCTAGGTAGTTTTATGTAAAAACTACCTTCTTCCTTGTATTTATATGGCTATGAGTGCACAAATCCGCCCCATCTAGCATTAGAGAGTTCAGATTGCAATTGTGGGCATTTTGAGTGAGGATTTTGTGTGTGCACCTTAGTCTCCTTTGTATTCTTTGTGAGAAATAAATATAAAGGTTGGGCATTGCCCGTAAACGTGCTTGTGTGTTGTTTTCCGCTGCATACTCTTGTTCTCGTTTATGTTGGCTTAAAAAACTTGTGTTTGTGCGTTTTGTACGAAGAGAATAGAGAAGAATGCTGACTGGTTTGGTGGGCAAATCAAGCCGCACGGACGAAAATTTCTTCAGTAAAGAAACCCTTGTGAGAGATAGTAATATATATAACAATATTACTGTCTATATTATTGTTTTAAACAGTAATATAGTTAATATTCTTGCCAACTACAGTAATATTATTGTTTTTACTAGGGCCAAAAAATATTTTGAAAAAATAAACGTTCTCCAAAAAAAAGTCAGCGGCGGGCGGCAGCGGAACAAAGGTTTCAAGAAAAAAAAAAGGCTAACACGAAAGATCTGCAGTCAATGGCGGCAGTGATCAAAATTGAAAAATATTTTTTGGGGTCAAAATTGAATAATTAATGAAATTGGGATTAAATGGATGAAATTGGAGTATATTAAAATGTGAGGGAATACTTTAGTCATTTACACAAGCCTGGACTTTGTATGAACTTTTTTTGTAAAATAGAATCAAGGACAGACCTAGATTTGAATAAGTTGTCCACCATGGGTTTATTTGTAATAGCCCACTTTCTAAAAAGTAAACAGTGCAAAAACTAAGGAGCATTAAACCTGTCAACCCATCCGTTAACACGCCCGTCAAACAACCACCCAATAACTCCGAAGTAGGTAGTTATAAATATTTTTTTTTTTGAGTAAATTGAAGTCCATTACAAGGGAAAGTAGGGGAGGGGGAGACTCGAACCCTAGACATTTACCCTATTGATGAAGGTTAGATACCAACTCTCCTAATGATGGTTGGTGGTAGTTTATAAATATAAGGGCTAAATACAGTTTCCACCCTTAAAGTATAGGGGTGGTAACACTTACCCCCCTTAAAGTTACAAATGTAACACTTACCCCCCTCATTAATTAATTTTAAGGTAAAACTTTGACTTTGAATAATGTGGCATTTTTTCTTCCCAAATTGTCCTTATAGCCATTATATAAATAATGAATATGTAATAATAAAAAAATCGGCAACTTTGCAAAACTTTATTTTATTATTTTAATATTGTAAATTTACGAATGAAAAAAATTGAATTTTAGTTTCATTTTTGTTTTACCTTGTGTTCATTTGTAGCTAACAAATTTTAATTATGATTTTATAGTTTATATAGTTATTTTAATGCGTATATGACTCTAATATAATCATCTCACTTTTTACTCTGAGAATCACAAAATGTATTCAAAAGTTAATAAGGAATTATAATTTAAAGGGAAGAAAAAATGCCACATTATTCAAAGTCAAAGTTTTACCTTAAAATTCATTAATGAGGGGGGTAAGTGTTACATTTGTAACTTTAAGGGGGTAAGTGTTACCAACCGTATACTTTAAGGGTGCAAACTGTATTTAGCCCTAAATATAATGGGGCAATTTTCTGTTTGCATTTTGATAATAGGGTCGGGTAGATCTTCTATACATCCTCCCTAGCTCCCACATTCAAACTTCATTTCAAATTGCTATATTATATTTTACGGACTTGAGTCCATTTAAGTGGAATTTTAAATGTGAATTGGTATTGGTGTGGTGGGAAACTTTTGCTACATGGAACCGAATAGCAAAGAAGAGGGCATTTTTTTTTTTAATTTCAATGATGTTTTGTATTTTGATTCTTGTCCTCAGTTCTTGATTGATCTTTTGAACAATGGTTTTGTTATGAATTACTCTAGCTGTACTAGTACCCCTTGTAAATGTTACCTTATTTTGATCTAGGACTAAGCGTTCTTTTTCCTGTTCAAAAAAAAAAAAAAAACAAAAAATCCATCTGCCCCTTTTTACATGATGTTCCAAAGCGTTTCACACAAATTAAGGAGTCATTAAATTTAGCTATAAATTAGATGATGTGGATTAAAATAACCTTCTATTCTCCCTCCATAACAACTTTCTCCGTGATTTTCTCTCTATTAATAACTAGGAATCCACTGGCCACTTTTTCCAACAACTCAATAATTAAGGGTAAATAGGGCAAATTAGTATTTAATAGTATATTGGGAATGAGAAACGTCATAGTCATATAATTAGGGCCTCTTTGGTTTGATTGACGTGATAATAAGGGTGGGATGAGATGCTTAATACTGTGATTAAAAACATGATGAATATTATTAGTCATATCATTTGGTTAGTTGTATTAACTCATGACTAATAATATGTTGACTATTCAGTTTCCATTTTGTTTGCATGATTTAGAGAAATCAGCTGGGATTAAAACCATATTGCCGTAAATGCCTTTACAAAAGTCATATAATATTTTAATCTGAACTTTTATTAATTAAACGGTATAAATCCCATTTCCCCCAAAAACATCCGTCAAAACTCTAATTTCACAAACTTTGAAACCACATCGATTTCTGGTGTGCAACGATAGATATGGAGAATGGATGATACCGCCAGTAGTAGTAAGAGAAGGAGCGAGAGTAGCAACCGATTTTTCTCGAACAACACCAACCGCGAGCATCCTGCTTTTTGTGACTGTGGCCGGAAGCTTTTTGTGCAAACATCATGGACGCCGGCGAATCCCGGACGACGGTTTCTATCGTGTCCACCTCATTGGGATCGAGCATTTGCCGAAGCGTAACGACATTTTATTACCACAATTCACCTCATTGGGATCGAGCATTTGCCGAAGCGTACCGACATTCTGATCGTTTTGCACGAATTTCTTTCGGTTCTTGGACACAACCAACATACTAGAAAGTATCTCAACTGCAATTTCTCGTATTTCAAACGATTTCGAGTCGAGAAATTTAACAAGAACCGGCATAAACCCAGCATCACACATTAACTTCTTAGCTTCCTCCGAAGTTCCACATAGCCAAAACGCAGCATTTAATGCCAATTCTTGTACGAAAATATCGCCATATCGAAGAAAATAAAGTATATGATCCATAAACGAGTAATTTATAAGTATACTTATCAAATTTTCCGACAAGGAACATATACTCGTAATTCCCCTAAATGCCACTTCTCTTGTCTTTGTTGAAACCGATGATTTTGGATCCAAAATCCGAACCAATGCTCGAAGTCCGCCTTCTTTAATAATCGTTTCCCTAATCGACGAATCTCTATATATAAGCTATTATTTGCAGTAAATCGAGCGAGCCTATTTGTACAATTTCATCTTTAGAACTAGCAAGCTCAACAAGTTCAACAATGGCTCCTTCCTCGACCACAAATCTCTTAATTTCTTCGACAATAACGAGATTTTTCAACACCCCACAAGACAGAGCAATCAATTCACTCCCACTACTGCTATCACTACTGCAAAGCTTCAACAGGGCAGGCACTCCACCGTGGGCGGAAACCGACCATACATTATCGAAATTCTCCGTGACTTTCATCAAACACCTGGCGGCAAATTCTTTGCCCAGCTCACTCCCAGATTCTAGAACCCTTATCAAAGGGGTAATCACCCCTGCACCGATTAGAACACCCTTGTGGGACTGAAAACCTGCAATTAAAGACACCGATTTGGCCGCCTCCTCTTGAATTTCGCTCTCCTCGAAGTCGAGAAGATTCACGAGGAAATTGACGAAACCCTCGAGTTCGACGGCGGATTTCACGTATCTGTCGTCTTCTAGGACATGATGAACACGAAAATCAAATCTGTAACAAACCGATTTACCGGAGCAAAAGAACAATGACCTCACTAACACAAACGACTTTCAGTGACCGGGTAATGGTGCCGATTGCCTAGCGAGAGTAAATGCCTCAGATGATATGTGCATTTTTAAGATTCAGTTGAAAATTTTGAACATGAAAACGGTGAAGAAGATGCAGAAATTACCTTCCTTTGGGGTTAGGGTTTGCTGATGTCGGGAAAAGGGGATTTTTTCACAAGTACATTTGGTTTTTATATGAAAGGAATCAGTAATTATCTAAGTGTTGTAAGGGCAAAAACAATATTGCACAATCCATTAGATGATGGATTAATTGATGACAGCATATCACGCCAATATTGGCGTGACTGCCAATAAATCATTTGAGGGATGGAAACTGTGGGCCCCCTTATCAAGGCCTCACCAAACCACCAAACCAAACATAATACACGAATGTATTATTCATCCCATCAGGCCTAATATTGCAAACCAAAGAGGCCCTTAGGGACAAAAAAATCTCTTCAAAATGCCATGTATAAAGGGACAAAGGGAGTACCTTATAAGCTTGATTTTCTAAAATACCTTAAATTTCCTAATTATGTAGGTTTAAATAAGTATACATATCCAATGCAAATTTTTATCAATTATAACAAGCGAGGATTGACGGGAATGGCTGGAAACGGTAAGTATTTACGGGTAATTGATAAAGAAGAAAAAATTGGAATTGTGGCTAGGGTTTATATGGATAAGAGAATGACAGGAAATAAATGGGAAAATAAAGGTCGATTTCGGCTATTTAGTTCGGTTTGATCATAAATTCACTTTGGGGCAAAAACTCATACACAAACAAAAACATTCGGGTTTTTTGAAAAAAAAAAATAATAAGTAGATCAATGATTAATGACTCCAGAAGGTTCATAATGGCTCGAATTTTTGTTTGTTGGTTCAATTCAATTTCTTGGTTTTTTTTTCTCACCCTTACTATCTCCTTTATCTGAATATATCTTGAATTCAATATGTGATCCATTGATTCACCTCTTCAAAAAAATTGAGTCATAAATTGTGATATGCATGTAAATTGTAATCGAACATGGAAATGTATATACATAATTTATATATGATTTGATTTCGTCCAGTGTGATGTATGGGCCTAAGGCCACCAATATAATGCTTTGGGCCGTCAAGAGCTTGAAGCCCCAAAACTAAATTAAAATCTATTTATTTTTAATATAAAGTAGAAACAACTATATGCTACAAAGTCACGGATTACGAGATATGGATGAATTATAAAATTAGGGTAATAATATACGCAGGCCAAATTAAACATTCAGGCACTTTTTTATCATGATTTTTTACCTTTTTACCATAACTATTTACCTTTTGTACTATTCCTACCCAATCCTATAAAATATAAAGAGTAAAAAGCAGTTTGCATCCTAAACTAAGGGTCGATTTGCACTTTACCCCCCAAACAAATTTTTTTAGCACGTTTTTACCTAAACTACGTTTTTCGTTGCACGGTGCCCCCTAAACTCAATTTTCCGGCAATTTTAACCGGAATGTTAAAACATGTGCTTTGCACGTGAGATTTTGAGGGGTAAATTTGTCCCTTCACTTGCATCTTTAATATTAAATACAAATAAATATTAAAAAAAAAAAAAAAAAAAAAAAAAGAATAAATAAATAAATGAAAAAGAAGCTGTCATCCACATCATTAAAAAAACCAAAAAAAAAAAAAGCCCACACCATCATCATCTCTTCTTCTCGTCTCTATCGTCTCTCCTCTCTTCTTCATCTTCTTCCCTTCTTTTATTTTTCTGAACAAATTTTCTCCAAATGTTCATTAATGGAGAAAACGTTTATACATACTCACCCAAAAGGAAGCCGATTGTAACCTTTAAAACGCGGCCCCTTCATTTCCTAATGGGCTCCTCACGCCGGCATCAATAACCTGACCGCCGGTGAATTCCTCCACTAATACTCCTCACACAATTAATCACCAACAATAATAAATAATAAATACATTTATGTAATTTTCTCGAACAGATAGAATATTTTTATGACAAATTAATTAATAATTAGTAACGGTTAAAAGAGAAGGAAATCTCTGTGCAAGAAATAGAAGAGCAGATTTATTTCATTTTCGTCACACAATTATCACCATTTTCCGGTAAGCTACTGCCGCCAATTCCTCCATCTTCAATCCCACACTACACGCTCAGAGATTTCAGTAATTTCTTCGAAACAGGTAGAATTTGAATTTTGTTTTCATCGTTTTTCGTTTCTATTTTACATATATAAATCCACAATTTTGGGTTTTTGGTAGCAGGAACCGCCCATTTTGGTAATTGGAGTTTGTATGACGAGCGCATCGGAGCTGTTCTACAGCCGGAGGTCTCGATTCGGTCGGAATTCGGATCCTTTCGGTGTCGGGGCGGATTTGGATTCTCCTCCGCCTCCCGATCGGACCAATCGCCGCACTCGCCATTTCAACAGTCCCGGCGGCAGTCACGCTCGCCGCGATTGGCTCGAGCCCGACGGATGCGATCCTTTCCGACGGTCGATTCACCAGCTCAGGCAAACCCCACACCGCCGTCCTTCACATCCACCTCAAGTGAGAATCCTATATTCGGATGTTGAAGGTGAAATCCCTGCTGCAAATTCACCCCAATTTCATCAAATTCATAAATCTTGAAAACTTATATTCGGAAGTTGAAGGTGGAAAGTGGGTTTCAACTAAGGAAGCATTTCTTGTCCAGTTGAGAATACCTATTATTTCTTTGCCAGGTTACTGACTTTAGGAAGACGATGATAATTTCCCTTTTCTCTTTTTTTTTTGTTTATTTCTTTTTAATGATTTATTTATATTTAATATATAGCAGTTAAGTGGATTGACGAATTTACCCCCATAAATCTCACGTGAAACGCACATTATTTAACATTCCGTTCAAAATTGCCGGAAAATTGAGTTTAGGGTGCACCGTGCAACGAAAAACGTAGTTTAGGTAAAAACGTGCAAAAAATTTTTGTTTGGGGGGTAAAGTGCAAAACAGCCCTTAATTTAGGGGGTAAAGTGCTTTTTACTCAAATATAAAACTCAACATTCAAAGTGAAAAAATTCAGATATTCAACAATTTTTACGATGGATCCAAACAACTTAGACCCGAATGTAAGTTTTTTCTTTTATTTCCCACAACCTTATCTGCTCGTGTGAATTTACGCGAGCACTTGCCAAGTGCTCGTGTAAATTCACACGAGAAGATGAATTTTTTTTTATTCATGTGCTCGTGTGAATTTACGCGAGCACTTGCCAAGTGCTCGCGTAAATTCACACGAGCACATGAACAAATTTTTTTTTTTTTTAATATTCGCTCGTGCGATTTTACACGAACAGGTGGCACCTGCTCGTTTAAAATCACACGAGCTATTTAATTTTTTTTAAAAAAAATCTGAAAATTTTGTTTTTTTTTTAACCCACTTGTGTGATTTCACACGAACATAGAAGGTATGCTCGTGTGAAATCACACGATCAGAACGTCTCTGTTCGTGTGAAATCACACGAGCAACACAATTTTTTAATTTTTTTTTTTTTTGAGTTTTATTCTTTAGTTTTATAATTTGCTAACAACATTAATATAAAAACAGGAAGTATACATAGATGTGGATGAAGATATTGAAACATTCGAGCTACATGATTACAGTGAATTTTTCACAATTTCGACTGCATTTGATAGTAAAGATGCACTAGTCGAGTGGGCGATGAATATGTACATCAGTCAAGGACATGAGATTAGGCGACAGTCTTACCACGAGGGCCGACAATATTTGACTTGTAAAAGAGCCTATAAGAGACGAGGAAAAAATGCAGAGGTCAAAACAAGCCGGAAATCTGGTTCAATAAAGTGTAAATGCACTTTTGCGCTATGGGGTAAAGAGGGTCGTGATGGATTATGGCGCCTTACCATCAAAGATGGCAATCACAATCATTTTCCTCATAAATATTCACAAGGACTACGTTCGCTAAGTCGCCTGAGTGAAGAGCAACGAGAAGTGACAAAGATACTGAAAAAGAGCCATGTGAAACCGAATGAAATTTTGCATCATCTGAGAGAGATGAATCCGGATACGGCTGCGGCCTTGAGAGATGTGTACAATGAATCACAGAGAATTAGACGAGAGGAAATGAAAGGAAAAAAACAGTTATACAATATCTGTGGCACGAACTAAGTGAGAGTGGATACAGCAAATGGCATCGAACAAATCCAGCTGGTGATGCAGTGCAAGACGTTATATTTGTGCACCCTGATTCAATAAAGCTTTTGCAGTTATTTCCATACGTCATCCTGATGGATTGCACGTACAAGACTAACAGGTAATAATTATTTAAATGTGAATTACATTTATTATATTATATATATATATATATATATATATATATATATATATATATATATATATATATATATATATATATATATAAGAGTTGACTAAATTATAATTACCTTCATGTAGATATGAAATGCCTCTTTTGGAGATCATTGGGGTTACTCCCGCGGGAAGGAACTTCACTATTGTCGTTGCTTTTATGTCACGTGAAGATGAGGACACTTATGCATGGACATTGCGATGTTTGCGAGACATATTATCAATCGGGATAGAACCCGAAGTGATACTGACAGATCGTGAGTTGGGCCTACTGAAAGCATTGCCAAACGTGTTTCCACATTCGCGTCACATGTTATGTTTATATCACATAAACAGAAACGTTGAGGCAAACGCGTCAAAATTCTTGGGTAACACCAAGTTGGGTGTACTGTTCCGGAGGACTGTGTGGGCAAAGTTAGTCGAATCTGAGACTGAGGAAGAATACGAATGCAACTATAGAGAGATAGTTAGTTTGTACGGGCAATATCCGAAGTTGATAACTTACATCAATGAAACGTGGTTGATTTATAAGGAGAGATTTGTTAAGTGTTGGACCAACAACATCGTTCATTTCGGTAACACGACGACTAACAGGTATATAAATTGATTTTACTATAAACTCGTTACGTACAATCTTTTATACACATGTTACATTTATTCATTATTTGAGTGTTTTCTCGAAACAGGGTAGAGAGTGCACATCGTGCATCGAAGCGTTGGATCCAAACATCGACTGGAGCTATGGATACAGTTCAAAATGCACTAGATGCGCAAGTTGACCTTCAAATTAATGAATTGAAGGTGAAAAACGAGAGCAGTAGAACAGTCAGGATGAACAGTACTTCACTGCCGTGCTTCGGTGCTTTGGTGTGTAACGTATCACACAAAGCACTGGACCTGTTGGATAAAGAGTACGAAAAGTTGGAAAAGAATCCGGATAGTTGCAACTGTTACCTAAGCCGAACCCACGGACTCCCGTGTGCGTGTATGATTGCAGTTAAAATTGCTGAGGGAGATACTTTTTATCCGCAACAGTTACAACCATTCTAGAGAACGTTGGTTGTCGACCCGAAGTCGAATCCATGGGAGGACGAGGAGGAACCGTTTGATCGCACAGTTGCAATTAAGAAAGTTCTTCTCAATGAGTTCGAGAAGTTATCAAACAAAGATTACATGTCCCTAAAAAATGTGGCCGACTATTTACGGGACCTAAATAATCCTTCTTCAACGCATTTACAAGAGCCGTCATTTGTGAACGCCAAGGGACGACCTAAGAATAACTCGATGAAGAGGAACTTGTCCGGATATGAGCACATGATGAATCGGAAATCCGAAGTTAAATCTTCTTTGGGCTCTAAGGGTCGCAAAACCCCGACCGAAGGGACGCCACAGTCAAAATTTAAAGCTGGTACGCCAGAGTCAAAGGTTAAAGGTCGTCCTCGCGGACGTACTAAATCGACGGAAGAATCAGTTGTTACTGCCGGGGACCGGGTCAATTTCTTTTCCTTCCTTCCTCCGTTTCTCGCACAGTCCGTAGCCTCATATGTTAATGTGAGGGCCGATGGAAATTGTGGCTACCGGTGCATTGCCGAAGTTGTTTACGGCAGTCAAGAGAGATGGCCACAAGTCAGAACTGACTTGGTTGAGGAGTTTATGGAGCGTTACAATCTATATGCTACTATTTACGGTGGGGATGAGGGGGGTCGCAATACAGTCGCTGATTATATCTTGACATGCATTCATGAGAGCGGACCGGCGCTACGGACGAAATGGATGTCAACAGATATGGGGTTGGCGATCGCTACAAGATACAACGCAATGGTATTAATATTCACTGAATGGGGTAGCATCACTTATCTACCACTAGTTGGGAACCCCGCGTTATCACGTATTATTCCTATGTCGCTACATAACGATCATTTTATGATCATACGAGTACCGGTTTCATGCCCTCTTCCTCGTCTCCATCCTCAGTGGAGGTATTTTGCAGCTCCCAATTTACTACCTCTACGAGATTTTTACGCGGATCGACTTGCTTTTTGGACGACGTTGACTTCTAGGCATAGGTAGTACTGTATTATTGTAATTTTGTTGAACAATTACTTGATTTTGTAAATTAATAATTGTTGAACTATTAGTTGAGTTTGTAAAACTAATTATTATTAGTCAAATTTCACATGGGAAAATCGAAAAAAAAAAAAAATTAATCTGTTCGTGTGATTTCACACGCACAGAGGCGTTTTGCACGTGTGAAATCACACGTGCAAACCTTCTCTGTTCGTGTGAAATCACGCGAACAGGTTTAAAAAAATTAAAAAAAAATTAAAAAAAAAATCGAAAAAAAATTATTAAAAACAAAAATTAAAAAAAAAATTAAAAAAAAAAGAAAAAATGACGTGGAAAAAGTACTCGTGTGTTAACACACGAACAGAGACATTCTACTCGTGTGTTTTCACACGAGCAGAACATCTCTGTTCGTGTGAAAACGCACGAGCAACACACTAATTTTTTTTTTCTTTTTTTTTTATTGTTTTTTTTATTCTTTTATTCGTTAATAATACAAATTAAAATATAATTTCGTTCGATACAACATAATTATAATCCGTACAAATAACTAAATAAGTAAGTTCGATAACAACGTAATTAAAATACGGGTAAATAAGAAAAATCCGCAAATCCAAAATGAAACATCCGTACAAAAAACTAAATCCGAAAACAAACAACAAATCACAACACACGAATACCAATAGTCAGGTGCAAATAAAAATCATACACTAGCAAAAAATCCGAAACTAATACACAAGTCCATGCAAATAGGTAACATGTCCTACTGTCCACTCCTCGACCCCCGACCCCGAGTCCTCGGACCTCCCCCGCGACCCCTCCTAGGTAAGAGACGCAAATAGTGGGCATGTGGCGTCAACAAGTCCCTCAACTGCGGCTGAATGCTCAGGAATGCCTCTGCTGCGTCGTCACTAGTCAAACCGAACACGATCGGAACTAGGAGCCGAGCTATGTCGTTGGCGAATGGCTGGTCTGGCGGCACCGCAGCAACAACCCGTTCTGCAGGCGGAACTCTATCAGGGTTGCTAATGAACCGGTGCGTCCGCTCGATGTACCACATCATGTACTCCTCGGCAACTGTTTCCGGTAGCCAGGCTTCACGGTATTGCGACAGGTCAATGAAGTTGGCGTACTCGTTCTACCACAACCCGCCAGGAGCGTGGAAAGTGACTTTGTATCCCGCGCCAAACAAACCGCGGTTATGTGGCAAGTTCGATTCAATTATCGGGAAAGGAATAGTCTGGACTCTTCCAAACTGCCGCAACGCTCGGTCGGGCATGTACGGCTCCACTATATCCATGAACTGTATCGTGCCGTAATACATGCTCCGAGGATGCAAGTAATGTGCACCGGTACCATACGGGGTCCAACAAACCTAAGCATATTTTAAACTAATTAGAAAAATCCGTAACTCTACTATAGACATAATTAGAAAAATTATTACTCACATCTCTTTCGGTCATGGCGTCGAGTTTTTTCCGGTATTCCTGCAGCGTGGTTTTATTGCCTCCACCATGGGCCCACCTTCTGCATCGAGGCTCAAACTCGGCATATGAACGGGAAAGAGGTGGTCGAAAGCAGGGGAAATACTCAAAGATCCAGCACTGCAAACAAAAACCAATGAAACGTTGTTGATATTACCTACATAGAAGTTTAAATAAATAAATAATTACTAATAAAAGTACACGTACCAGAAGGAGAATAACACATCCACAGAGATTGTTCATCCCAGCGCGGGTGGCAATACCCAATTGGCGGTACATGTTTGCTAAGCATGCCGAAGCCCACGAATACTTGCCGACATTATCGAGATCGTTGGTAAAATGGATCCACCACGGCTTCATGTTACACGTTGTTTTGTCTACAAACAAAACAGACCCAAGCAGAAACATCAAGTAGCCCTTCATCTTCTTCTCATCTGTGGTGGAGGGAAGGGTCAACTGATCTCTCACCTTAACCCAACCAACTCCCTTGTTTCGAAACATCTCATTGGTGTCCATCAGACCGACACCCAATACAGATGCAAGACTTTGTGAGCACTCTTCTACCGAGCGAATTTCAGACACTGGCGGTCCGTCCAGCCGCAACGCCAGGATGAAAGCGACATCGTGGAGCGTGATCGTCATCTCGCCCCATGGCATGTGGAAACTGTTCGTCTCCGGCTGCCACCTCTCCACGAAAGCTAGCATGAGGTTCTTGTTCATCCTCTTCAGAAAACAGTCTCGTAAGTGGTAAAGACCTGTTGCCTCCAGCCTCGCAATCATCGTGTTATCCTGCGGGCCGCGGTAGTCCTCGAGTGCTTTGGTCCTCGACTCGCACCGTGTAGTTTCACGGCGCTCCTGAAAAATATTGCATGTATTGTTAGCTAAAAAATGAATAATATAAGAATTATGTAAAGCACGTGTTGACAGAAAACTTACATATCCTTCCCAAATGTACATCGCTATATGCGACTTGAACCATCGCATAAACTCGTAATTTTGTGGCCCTCCCTCGCACGGACCCTCCAAGTACGCCGGACCAGGCAGCTGCGGAAAGGGTAAGGCACGACCACCTCTACGATCCTGATATACATCTGCTGGCTCATCATCTTCCTCCATCTCCTCGTCAGTATCCACATTATCGGGATTGTTGTTGTGGTCATCATCGTCGTCGGCATGTGGCAATGTACTACGAGCTAGCTGGAGGTCGCGTGTAGGTCCACAGGGTCCGGCTCCAGCTGCAACAGCTTCTCGTCTCAGTCTCTCTTCTTCCCGCTGTAACGCTGCTTCTCGAGCTAACTGCTTTCTTCTACGGGCGGAAGCAAGGACATCTCGGTCTTCAATGCGAGCCGGATCTTCCGGATTGTCCCCCTTCCCGCTCGAGGCTTTCATTAAGCTCTTGCCTTTACCGGCAACTTGACTCATAAGACTTTTCCCCCAGCCTCCTGCCATCTACAATTGAAAATAAGCACTTTATTAATATTTCATATAATAAAAAAAAAGCATTTAAATAATGAAATGAAAAAAATTAAAAAAAAATTAAATTGGTGTGCTCGCGCAAAAACAAGCGAGCATTTCAACAGTGCTCGTGTGAAATCAGACGAGCACTATTGAAATGCTCGCATGTTTTTGCACGAACATCTTTTAATTCAACAAATAAATTTATAAAAAAAAAATTAAAAATGCTCGCGTGGATTTACACGAGCGCAGTGGATGCGCTCGTGTAAATTCACGCGAGCAGGCCAAAGTCCGATTTTATTCAACAAATAAATTTATAAAAAAAAATTAAAAAACGCTCGCGTGGATTTACACGAGCGCAGTGGATGCGCTCGTGTAAATTCACGCGAGCAGGCCAAAGTCCGATTTTATTCAACAAATAAATTTATAAAAAAAAAAAAAAAAAATTTAAAAACGCTCGCGTGGATTTACACGAGCGCAGTGGATGCGCTCGTGTAAATTCACGCGAGCAGGCCAAAGTCCGATTTTTTTCGTTTTTTTTTTTCGGATTCGTAATCTACATAACAAGAGGATCGTAAAAACGTAAAAATTACCTCCAATCTGTTGACGATTTGCACGGGCTTTGCGAAAGAAAATCGAAAGGTTGAGAGAGTTTTTGAGTTTTTTTACTTTCTGTTTTTTGAAGAATGGTAAAAAATGTGCTTGACTGTTTAATATGTGCCTGCACAAATCATTTCAGATAAAATTATCATACTGAGTAATTGAGTGACTTTGGTAGGGCAATCGTACCAAATGCCTTGAATCACTGTCATTATTGAAATTTCGGTATTATGAAATTCATTATCAGTGTCTTACCAAAAGTTTCGATGTACCTAAATTCGGTACGGTTCAGTATGATAATGATAATTACCAATTTATGTTATCTTCTGTTAATGAAGTCAAAATTAAATATTATTTTTGCAAAGCAATTCAAGACATACCCTTATTTAAAATGTTTAAAACTATTATTTAATGTCTAAATATTCTAAATATATGTTTTAGCTTACTGAAGAGCAACTCCAATGTGAGAACCAAATAGAGTATCATCATAAAATTACTATTTTGATTCCCAAAAGTCAAAATATTTCACTCTAATGGAGGCATTAAAGTGGTAGTTAGTTTGATACTCAACCTCCTAGGTGCAAAAATGCATCAAAAAATAAAAAATAAATAAAAAAAAATAAAAAAAAAAAAGAGAAAAGAGGAACCAAATATTTATTAAAAGTAGCTCTAGCAATTCCAAATGGAAAAAAAAAAGAAATAAAATCTCAATAAATTTCAATGGAAAACGGATAGTAATTTATTTCTTGCCTCTATGGGTTGGAGCATATGAGTTTTTTCAAAGTATCAAAGTATAATTTTTTTTAGCATAAATTACATCATCATTAATGAAAGCATACAAAGTATTTTTGAAATACTTAAAAAGCACATCTAAAATTTAACTAATAATAGTTACTTAGCATACTATCTTCACTATTTATATAAAATACATTAATTATCAAAATAAAATTTTATTTAGTTTTATGTATTATTAAAAGTTAGATACGGTACGATAATACCACTGTAGCAATATCGAGTATCGGTGCCCTACCAAACTATTTCGGTATAATACAGTATGATACGGTAATCATTCGGTAGAGAATCGGTAGGGCGACGGGTTGGTAAGGCAATATGGTAATAAAAACCCAACCCTAATTAAATATATCAAATATAAATAAATAAACAAGACAATATAAGGTAAAAGAAAAAAGAACAAAAATTAAATATCTATGATGAGTCAAAATAAGGGGTACTATTGCAATTTAATGAAATATAGATCCCAATACAAATGGACAAAGTGATCCCACGTTTAAGCTTTGCATCAACTGCTTTTCCACCAGTCATGAGGAAGCAAAGGTTCAGTTATAGCATATGATAGATACAGACAACTTATTTGTATTATATAATAATAATAATAAAACAAAGCTCTTTTCAAGATTTCGGCTATGGCTAATTAGTGTGTATTCTTTTGGACCACATAAAATATAACATGGCCTTGGCCATAATAAAAGCATCTTCTTGTCATTTTCAATCTTTTAATTTCTTTGCGTGTGGTTTTAATTTTTTTCTAACCTTCAATTTGCTGTTGGGCTTTACGTTGGATATTTTGCGGAAATATCTGAATAAGATTAACAAGGAATAATTTCTAGGAGTACGTATCTCCTTATATATATTTTACTCTTACTAAACGTTTGATATTTTGCGGAAATATCTTAATAAGATTAACAAGGAATAATTTTGAGGAGTACGATATCTCCTTTTATATATTTTACTCTTACTAAAACTTGTTGAGTTATAAATATTTACACCTATTTATTCTAGTTTAGGCATAAGATGTACATGCATCGATTTGGGATAATTACACTTTTCGTCTCTATACTTAGCACCTAAAACGATTTTCGTCCTCGAACTTTCGCCACCACAAATTTAGTCCTCAAATTTGTCATTTTTTTAACACTTTTGGTACGGTTGTCAGCTCGCCCAATTAACTTGGACGGAAATGTCACGAGCGCCGCACATAAGGTTCATGTGGCAGTCCAAATCAAGTTGGAAGATGAGTTGGACAACACCTCATTGTTTCTCTCCCTAATAAATCCTTAATTCCTTTCCTAAAAAAAAACCCCAATTTCCGATCTTCAAATTCCCAAGACCTGATCCCGGATTCTAATAGCTAATTACTGCACATATATGGGATTAAATTTTCTATTTTTTCGCACAATTTTCAATTTTCAATATTTTTATGTTCAAGGAAAAATGCATGCCTGCCCATAGTTATAAATCAAACAATGTTTGTAAAGGTTTGAATAAAGAAATATTGGTATTCCTCTCGATACTCGAAAAATCAAAATGCAATCTTCGAAGATAAGGAATTGAGGTAGGATAGGATTTTGGGAATTTGAAGAAGGGAAATTGGGGGTTTGTGTGGAAAATGAATCGTGGATTTGTTGTAGGGAGATATGAGAGAAATGGAGATATATAATGAGGTGTCGTTCAACTCATCTTCCAACTTGATTTTTACTGCCACATAGACCTCACGTGCACCGCACATGACATTTTCGTCCAAGTCAACTGTGTAAATTGACCGTTGAACTGAAAGTGTCAAAAAGTTGCAAGTTTGAGGACTAAATCTGTGGAGGAAAATTTTTGAGGACTAAAATCGTTTTAGATGACAAGTATTGGGACGGAAAGTGTATTTATCCCTACATGCATCATATTAGATAAAGGTTCATGAATACTAGATATATAATCATGTATCTAAAGATTCGTGTACTTATCTATCCATGTATCCTATCATACATTAATATTTTCAAAAGTGCATTAATATTTCAACACTCTTCCTTAATGTGCTTTCTCTTCAACTTCAAGATTCTTCGACTTTGCAGTCTTCTTTTTCTTCTGGAAATTGACCAGAAAAAGAAAAAAAAAACTCTTCGTTTTCTTGAGAGTAATTTGCAAGATTTTGTTTTTTTATTTTTCAATCGACAATACTCCTCCAAATGTTTGAACTTTTGACAGTTTGTGCATCGTGTTTTGCCGTTGTGGTTGCAATCCTTCTCCATTGACTTGCAAAAACAACATGGGGCCGGAATGCCGGATACATTTTTACTTCTCCTTGAGTTTTTATACTCTTTCTACTAAATTTTCGCTCAAAGTTTTTACTGGTAAAGATGAGAAGAAGATGAGGGATTCCGGAAGAGCTTTTACACTCTTTCTCCTTCTTTGATTTAAAGAAAGGATTCTGAAACTTGTCATGAAATCTTCTTCTTTGATTCAATTTGGGATAAGTATTCCCTTTGGGAGTTTTTTCTTCAATCTTCAATCAATTGAATGCGTGATCAACTGATTCAACGAGACCCTTTTTTTAATTGCTTTGAAAGGATTTGCACTCCTTTTATTTTTCTCGATTTTTTTTACGCCCCAATTGATTATGATCAATCGGGATCTGATACCATGTTGGATATTTTACGGAATCATGTAAACAAGATTAACAAGGAAATAATTTTGAGGAGCACATATCTCCTTCTTCATATTTTACTCTTGCTAAAACTTGTTGAATTACAAATACAATCTTACACCTATTTATACTAGTTTAGGCATAAGAGGTACATGCATCATATTAAATAAAGGTTCATGAATTAGGGGAAGAAGGAAAAAGAAGTCTAACACATGAAAATTTCAACAAGTAACTAGGGGGCTTGGAAATTTTATTTTGAAAAGGCAATTAAGTCATTAGAATAGCCATGTGCAATGCACATGTTGTGAATTCCGTCCAAAATGACATGGAAATAGGCAATGTGGTACAAAATAACAAGTTTAATTTTATCGTGCAGCTTTTTTTTATTGAGGTGGTAATCTACAAAAGGGGATAAGATTTAGATGGTTTAATACTATTTACCCTATATATTTTAATGTTGTTGTTCATGAAATGAGTTAATTTAGTTCCTATAACAAACATGGGCAGAGGTAAATGTTACATACCTCATATTTTAGAAGTGCAATATGTGTTTCACGATTTTTATCAACACTATGTATGTATTTTTTATTTTAGTCTTAACGTCGTTAAAAAACTTCACAATTAAGTGATAAATGGAGGAGGGTAAGTGATGCGTGACTACATGTGTATATACCGGCAGGGTATATGGTCATGTTTAGATTGCGGCTTCTTTCGTTAAAAAAATAAATAAAAATAAATTCTACGGTCGCTAAATGAGTGGGGTCCATTATTGTTAAATTTTAAGTCGGTTCAAAATGTAGTTGTCTAGAAAAATGGAGAAACTTGACCCGACAATGACTAGAAATCAAATAAAAAAAACTTATGAATGGCCCCAAATAATAAACATTATTGGGACAACATCTCAATTTGAAAAGGCGTGAATTGCGTGTAAAGAGAAGATATCTATTTTAAACTTTGTATT